TGAATTTCACCTGCCATTTTGTTGCCCAGTCATCCAGTTTTGGGAGATCCTTTTACAGCTCTTCACACTCTGCCTGGGACTTAACTATCTTGAGTAGTTTTGTATCATCTGCAAATTTTGCCACCTCACTGTTTAAATCTTTTTCCAGATCATTTGTGAATATGTTGAATAGGACTGGGCCCAGTAAAGACCTCTGGAGGGCATCACAATTTACCTCTCTCCATTCTGAAAACTGACCATTTATACCTACTGTTTGTTTCCTGTCTCTTAACCAGTGACCAATCCATGAGAGCACCTTCCCTCTTATCCCATGACTACTTACTTTGCTTAAGAGCCTTTGGTGAGGGACCTTGTCAAAGGCTTTCTGAAAATCTAAATACACTATATCCACTTGGCCACTGTCAGAAGACAGGATATTGCGCTAGATGAACCTTTGGTCTGACCCAGTATGGCCGTTCTTATGTTCTAAGATCACAGGCTGCAACCATCATTGCACTTTTGCAGACCTGTCAAGTGGATTGCCCTTGCCACATGCTTGTTGACCCCTCAAAGAATTCTAGTAGATTGGTGAAGCGTGATTTCCCTTTACTGAAACCATGTTGACTCTTCCCCAACAAATTATGTTCATCTATGTGACTGACAATTTTGTTCTTTACTATAGTTTCAACCAGTTTGTCCGGCACAGAAGTCAGGCTTACCAGCCTGTAATTGCCAGGGTCAGCTCTGGATCCCTTTTTAAAAATTGGCGTCACGTTAGCTATCCCCAGTCATTTGGTACAGAAGCTTATTTAAATGATAGGTTACAGACTACAGTTAGTAGTCCTGCAATTTCACATTTGAGTTCCTTCAGAATTGTTGAGTGAATACCATCTGGTCCTGGTGACTTACTACTGTTTAGTTTATCAATTTGTTCCAAAACCTCCTCTAATAACACCTCAATCTGTTCCTCAGATTTGTCACCTAAAAAGAATGACTCAGGTTTGGGAATCTCCCGCACATCCTCTGCTGTGAAGACCAATGCAAATAATTCATTTAGTTTCTCCACAAAGGCCTTATCATCCTTGATCTTGTAACAATGCTCAGCAACATCAGAGACATAGCTTTTCCCACAGTCTGATATGAGCTGACCGCCATTCGTTGTTGCTCAGTCATCTTGTCCTGCAGTGTTTCCTTTGGTGGAAAGTACTTTAATTCTGCTATTTCTCCTATGACAGCCCCACATCATGTAATTTGAAATGTACCTCAGTTTTCATGCCTGTATAGCCAGACAAGGGTAAAAAGGTTTTTTTCTTGGAGGAAAGATGAATAAGATTGAGACTTTTCAGCTTGGAAAAGAGACAACTAAGGGGGATATGATAGAGGTCTATAGAATCATGACTAGTGTGAAGAAAGTAAATAAGTGTTGTTTACTCCTTTTCATAATACAAGAACTAGGGGTCACCAAATGAAATTAACAGGCAGCAGGTTTAAAACAAATAAAAGGAGGTATTTCTTCACACAATGCACAGTCAACCTGTGGAACTCTTTGCCAGAAGATGTTGTGAAGGCCAAGACTATCACAGGGTTCAAAAAAGAACTAGATACATTCATGGAGGATAGGTCCATCAATAGCTATTACCCAGTTTGGGCAGGGAGGCAAAACCATGCTCTGAAGTGTCCCTAACCTCTGTTTGCCAGAAGCTGGGAATGAGCGACAGGGGATTAATCACTTGATTACCTGTTCTGTTCATTCCTTCTGATGCACCTGGCATTGGCCACTGTCAGAAGCCAAGTTACTAGGTTAGATGGACCATTGGTCTGACCCAGTATGGCCGTTCTTATGTTTGTTTCTCTGGTAAGAGACTAAGTCTAAGAGTGAGAATAGGGAAGAGTAGTAATGTTTTCTCAGGTAAATGTAGAGTGTTTAGCATTATATCTCATACATAAAATAAAGTCTTTGAAAGGGGAGGTTTTTTCCAAGATAAATGGATGAAAGTACTCTTTTATGTTAGTCATCAGGGAAATCTCTCTCCCCCAAATCCAGGAGGTCTGTATGCTCAAATCCACATTCCTTGCATCCCCAACACTCCCATTTAAGTCAACAGAAATTTAGTATGGGGAAAGCACAAGGAATGCAGAATCCGCTCTGATCCTGCCTAGGAGGCTGCGTTGGAGAGAGGCAACCTCTTTATTACACTAAATCAGGGATCAGCAACCTTTGGCACGTGTGGCCAGTCAGGGAAAGCCACTGGTGGGCCAGGACAGTTTGTTTACCTGCAGTGTCCGCAGGTTTGGCCGATCACAGCTCCCACTGGCCACAGTTCGCTGTTACAGGCCAATGGGGGCTGCAGGAAGCAGTGGCCAGCATATCCCTTGGCCCACGCCGCTTCCCACTGCCCCCGTTAGCCTTCAATGGCGAGCTGCAGCCGGTGGGAGCTGCAGGTAAACAAACCATCCCAGCCCACCAGTGGATTTCCCTGAAGGGCCGCATGCCAAAGGTTGCCGATCCCTGGGCTAGATGGACCTCCTAAAATAAAATCAATCTGGTTGACCATTGTGAAGCCTCCATCTCCTCAGTTAGCCCCAAGATAAGAACTTCATTTGTGATCCATGGAAATAATGCTATTATAAATCTTGTTAGCATTCACATTAAAATACGAAGTATTAGAAAAATACCATGTGTAGTTAACAATAAAACTCCCCACCCTCCATGTGAATGAATAAGGCACAGACAAGTCGTCCTCTTCTGACCTGATCAGAAAGGTTTACTTTTGGCTCCTGAGATTTCCCACACAGAACATGTAATAAAAACAAGGGAAAATACTGCTATCTCAGGTATAGCTACGACTTGTTGACTATTCCAAGTTCTGCCACTGACTCACCTTGTGATACAGGGCAAATCACATAACTTCTCTATGCCATCTGTAAAATAGGGGTAACAATGCTTTGCCTTTGTGAAATGCTTTGAGATCTACTGGTGAAATGCACTATACAGTTCTATTATTTTATCAAAAAAAATTAGTCAGGAAAAACTCTGGCTCTGTGAAATTTTCCTATATTTTGGAAAGGAACCAATTAGCACTTGCGTGCTGACATAGAGGCAATTCAGACCCACGTTTTAAAGGCTCCTTCTCAATATGCTTCTTTAAGGGGTAGCCTAAACTTTATAAAGTCTCCCTGGCCTTGCACAAATACAAATAAATTACTTCCCCTCTGAGCACACCCCCTCGGTGGTTGAATATGACTATGGATGGGGCAGACCTGTTTTTCAACATCCAGTGCAGGAAGGGTGCTTTGATACAATGGATGTTGAAACCTGTTGTGGATTTGGTTGGGGGGGAGGTGTGAGAGAGAGAGAAGACACAATGCCTTTAATTTGGCCCTGGTGCAATCATTTATACCTGTGCAAAGTTCTGATGTGCTAATATTTTCCATATCCTTTGTACTTTGCACTTGTGTAAGTGGTCGTGCCACGGCAAGATAGCTGAGAATCAAGGCCAAGGAAGTGGCAAAGTGGACCTAAGAATAAAAAGGGGAGGAAGTAGTTTATCAAAGGCCAGAGTGATAAGGTGTTATACAGATGCAACAGCTGGGTATACTCTCAGACTCATGAGGTAACAAGCCCTTCTGTTACCTTCTACATCAAATGGCTAATCTGAGTTGTTGAAGGAGAGTTTTCCAAAACAAGACTATGCTATTGGGTTAAGTAGATATTTTTACTGTGGGTTTTTTTTTGTTTTTGTTAATTTAATATAGTTTCAATTACATTCCTGCCTCTTTCATTAATGATGCCCACCTTTCTGCAGGACTCAGAGAGAGGGCACAGGTTTCTGAAGTTCTGTTGACTCTGAAAACTAGTGTGAAATTCTGTAGTGAATGCTTGATCTTAATTTGGTAAGACTGTCTGGTGCTTAATGTGTGTCCTTGTTTGGAATTTTCTAAGGATTGAGAATGAGGAAGAGACCCACCTTTTGATAGACAGGCTTCTTGTTTAATTTCCTAATTCTGGAAGGTGCTCAGATACAACAGTGCTGAGAAGAACAGAAATGTAGTAATTACATTACTTTTTGTTTGGACAGATTGATTAAATAGACTGAAAAAAAAGCACACTTTTCCAATACTATTTAGTTAGTACTATAGCCTGTTCAGCCTAAAGGACAACAATTAACTTTCTCAATTCATCCTCCTCCTTAAATATATGTAAGGAGTTCCATCTACCCACATTATTCTTTTCTGCCCTATGATGCAAAAATGCACTAGTAGAAGCTGCCTCACCCCCTGCGATACAAGTACACTTGCCAGTCACTAACTTAAGATACAGTGATGTCACAGATGGGACTAAAATTTCAGTTTTCTCTGTTCTGTCACAGAATATAAGGGCCAATCTACACTACTGAAAAGACTGTTAACCCTAAATCCAAGTACTGTTCCCATAATACGATTAGAGAATCATGTTTTCTGTGCCCCCTGGCAAATTAAGAAAAAGCCCTGGTATGACATGGGCATCCTTAATTGTGGCAGAGAACCACATGCTAGCATGTTTTCTTTTTAATAGCTTCTCCCTTAGGCTCAGGTTACACTATCTTATCTCATGCCAGCAGATTTACAAGGAAACTCTTAGGGTGTTTTAATTCCAGAGAGTAAAATGAAGGTAGTAGGTAGCACAGAGTGGCATGTTTGCAGTGTTAAATCTTGTTTCAAGGAAAAATTGGGCCCTCTTGGTTCAATTTAACTTTCACTTATACTTTTACTTGAGTACTAAAGAGCTCAAATTTCTCAGTTTAACATAAGCAGACATTTTAGGCTTAAGTGTAACATGTTCATACTGTTTTTTAAAAAAAAACAACTCCGTTTTTACAGGTGAATAACAACTAAATCTAGGTCTCTGATTCTATACAAGAGTATAAGTTTGATTTTTTTTTTAAAATCCCCCTCCCCACTTAACAGCTCTCCTTTCTACTTCAAAATAAGCATTTGGGGATACACTGTGAAAGTCTTACAGAAGAAGCTTCATACAGACATAACTTAAATATTCCTTTATTGTCAGTGCAGGGTGTATTAATGATCTGAAAATGCATTTCATTTTATCTGCTGCGGTGGAATAGCACTTGTTCTCTCATTGAAAAACAAAACCATCTAGGATAGCAGATGAAGAGTTGCTATTCAGTCATATGGGCTTCATCATTACTACAAAATGAAATATAAATCAAATAACTAAAATTTTAATGTTAAATATGTACATTACATTCCAAAGAAAATATGGTTTGATAATGTATGCAACAGTTTCAAACCATTTGTTCAAAATCCCTTCAATCCACTGTCAGAATGGTTGCATTTCCTTCATTGGTTTTCATCATTTTGAAACTCTAGCTTCACAAGCTGGTTCTCAAATTTTTTAACATCTACCCGATGCTTCATTAGGAACTGCCCATTTAAATGAAAGACAGGTATGTCATACTTATATCTGTCATACCACACTGAGTTCTCTGGAAGGGTGATATCCACTTCCTGCAAAATAACCTTTGAAAGAAAAGAACTAAATGTTAAACATTTTATAACATTGGACACTTTTTAATAAAAATAGCTGCTGTCTTTCATCGAATTTCAGATTTACTTTAACAAAATGGGTCAAATTTTCAGCAGGCCTCTATATTAGCCCCGCATGGGTCCCTGGATTCCCAGTGAGGAACTGTACCACATATGATCTTGGTCATTTTCTTTCTGCAGGTGGGTCGACAGACATTTTCTGTTTTGCTCATGGGTGCAGCATTTCTTTGTGTCTACTGCTGCTTGCACCACTTGCTCTAAATTCAAGCAACTGAGGTTCAAAAACTGGTCAAAGTGCACTACACGCAGTTGACAGAATATTAGTTGGGGAGGATGGTGGGAAAGTACTTTCAAGTGACACGGGGCAAAGAATATTTGATGGACCTGCCTCACAGCAGTTTTGCTGCAAACTGCATTATAAACTTGAGATATATGTACATTATAGTCCAGTGGTTCTCAAACTTTTGTACCGGTGACCCCTTTCACATAGCAAGCCTCTGAGTGCGACCCCCCCCCCCTTATAAATTAAAACACTTCTTTATATATTTAACACCATTGTAAATGCTGGACGCAAAGCAGGGCGTGGGGTAGAGGCTGACAGCTCGTGACCCCCCCATATAATAATCTCACAACCCCCTGAGGGGTCCCAGCCCCCAGTTTGAGAACCCCTGTTACAGTAGCAAAAGTTTTTTTTTAAATGCAACATTGCATTCATTGGTTTAGTTTGCTAATGCTTACTTGAGCCACAGAGTCTGAAAATGCTTTTGAATAATAAGTTTTATGGAAATCAGTGCTAAAACTTTCTTGAAGAGGTTGCCCATGAAAGACTAATGGATGCAAATAAAATCAAGCAATTTTTCTTTTACAAAGAAAGGTCCCTGATTAACTATTCTTTCTCTATAATATACACAGTACTGTATTGCATTACCCTGTTTTTATATGGCTCAAGCACTTCTTTTGCTTCATCACATAGAGGGCACGGGTTCTAAAGGAAAATATGAAGATCATCTTAAAATAATCAATAAAACATACCTAGAAACAAGTTACATGCTATCATTATTCCAAATGTTCTCTCCTCATTGCCACATCATTTTCAAAATCTCATTTTAATCAGCACAGCATAGATTGCAAGTTTAAAAATTCTTTTTTATATAAGTAATAAAAAGAAAATCTCCCTTTTTATCCGGTCAACACCTCTAAGATTTTTGACTCTACCTTTAATTTGTGACCACAGTAAAAATATTTTTGAAATGGTGCAAGTTCTAAAAGCTGACACAGCTGCATGGTTCTGAAGACAAGTTATAGGATAGTCATAGGTTTGACTTCTACAGTCACTTCCCAAATGTATATCTGGAAAACTTTATTGACTTCCCTGGAGTCACTCCAGATACACATCAGTGTATGTTATTTGGCATATAGTAATTTAACACAAAATATAGTGAGGAAAAACATGATGGTTCTGTCTCTTTGGTGTGAAGTACTGTTCAGAGATGGAAAATGTCTATTCCTTTCCTCCCTCCCCAAAGCTTTATTAGGGTATGTCTACATAGTAAAAGGTGTGCAGAGGCTAGTCTGCCAGAGCCAGCTTGAATTCAGCTTGTGTGAGTAACAGCAGTGAAGACAATGCAGTATAAGTTTCAGGGCAGGTAATACAAGCGCAGCACGGACCCTACCTAGATACACACTTGGCTCATTTGTCTGTGCTGTGCTCTCTTCACTGCTGTTACCCATGCTAGCTGGAGTCAAGCTAGCTTGGGTAGGTAGACTAGGCTGTGAAGACACACCCTTAATGTTTGAAACCCTATGCAAGGTGCTAAAGGTGACAACAAGTTTGGAGTGCAGCTGCTGCTGTTTGTAACTTGTGGAAGAGCTGGTGATGGTGAATCAGCTGACCAAATGTGTTATTGAGAAGGGCTGACAGAATTTTGTTGCATGTAATCTGTTGTAACAGACTAGACTCTTCAAACTAAACTATGGGATGCTCAACTCTTTATGGGTTATTACTAAAAGAAAGATTGCTAAGGTAGCGGAGCTGGTAAAATGAGCTGGTAGGGGCAGAAAGGCAAACAGACACACTATTTCTCCTTACTAAGGGCTTGTCTAAGCATGCAGGTTGCACCATTAGGATTTGAAGTGGTTTAAGACCTGACTTAGTTAAAACAGTGCAGTTTTAGTGCTTGGATACTCTTCTATCAGTGTAGGTATACATTTACAGGCACAACTTAAACCAGGTTTAAACTGGCAAAGAGTCCTGTGGCACCTTATGACTAACAGATGTACTGGAGCATAAGCTTTCGTGGGTGAATCAGGTTTAAACTGATTGTCCACATGCAAACTTACACCAGTTTAAATGCAGAATCACACCTTTAAGTTAACTCAGGAAACTGTGTATTTAGACCAGGCTGTTATCAGTTTGAATTCACACTTTGTTATTTTGATGCAAGTCTGTGCGGGGACACTTATTTTGGATTAAGAGTTCAATTATTTTGATTGAACTACAGTTAAATAAACCAAGCCTTGTATTGAAATAAGTAAAGGTTTGGATCTAAAACTATCTAGCTATTTCGTTTCCAACCTCTGTGTGGGGACAAGTGCTAAGCAACAAAGCAAGTCATGGCACTTTACTCCTTTAATAAAGCCAGCACTGAGTTCCAATGGGAACTATGCTGAGAAATAATTCTGACTAGCCAAGGGTCTCTGCAAACAGACTTTAAACTGCTTTAATGGGACATTCAGCAGCTTGTATATATGTTCATGTCTTTCTGAAAGTACTCAATTGCCCTGGCTGCAAACAGAATTTGAATTTAATACAGAAGAGAGAGATGCAGATGTGCTGGGCAACAGAAGAGGCTGAAAGGAGAGGTTTTTATTTATACAATACGTTCTCACTTATGCTAAGCCTCATTCATACTTACTCCTGTCCTTACTTTAAAAAAACAAAACAAAACAAAAACCGAAACCACAAGCCTGGGGTGAATGGGGATAAACAGAGATCACAAATTGGTCTATTAAAAGCAGCCTGCAGTTTAGTGAGAGCTTGTTTTATAAATGCCAGTGATATGACACGTTCTGAGAGACGTGAAAAGTACGTTACTTTAAGCACGTATTCAACAAAAGAGGCCAATTTAGAAAACTGTTTCAACTTTGCTATCAGAAATTTGGTCACAGAATTTCACATTGCTAATCAGTATGTATGCACAATAATCATGCAAAAGAGCGTTTTCTAATTCTTAATCTCTAAAATTAATGCCAGTACTACCTACATTATTGCCCTTTGGAGTATGAAAAAGCACAGTGCTGGATCAGATGGCAGAGACAGAGATGGGACTTTAAAGTATGTTTCCTCATATAACACACATTCCACTGATAAGAAACAAGTGCTGACTTTTCTTTTTCTAGAAAGTCCACACCTTTGTAAAATAATCTAACTTTTTTCCAGGTTGGGTAGGAAAAAAAACAAACATTACTTGATGATGGAGCCTCTCCAGTCTCATCTTCTCTCAGCAAATTCACACTTTTTTCATTTTATTTAAAATTCACAGCAGTTTACACTTACATAGAAACTTTCATCTTAGAGCATTTTGCAATCTGTATACGTGCACCAGTATAAGACTCCTGAGTCCTTTCAGGACCTACATGTAAATCCGTGGTAGAGATCATCCTTGAATCAAGGGATTGCCAGTCAAAATCAATAAATAATATGCTACAAAAACAATGTACAGAAGGTAAAACTTTAGCCAAAGACACCAAATGAAACTCCTCTTCCTATGAAAAGTGAAGTGGGATCATTAATACTTTTGCAAAGAACACAGGATCTCAGTTAAGGTTTGTTAGGGGGCTTATTCCTTCACCCACTTACTTCTCTGGTCCTTCTCGCATGAACAGAGAGCAACAATACCCGAAGTCCAAAGGTGCAAACAATTCAATGTTTATTGGGGTGAACTTCCAGCAAGCATGATTCCAGTTTCCTTCCTTAGTATCCTCCTTCCCAGCTCTGACACCACAGAGCCTTACACCTGTGTCCCTGTTCCCATTCCTACCCTTAGCCAAACATGATTCCAACTTCCTTACTCCCATTCCCTGTTCCCATTTCCCCCTTTAGCAAAGCATGATTCCAATTTTCTTACCCCTGTTCCCATCTCCCCCTCCCATACCCACCCACTTCCTCACTGACTACAGATTATATAGTAAAACTTGAGTTCTGCTTAGCTATACTTTAACCAATCATTTTCCTGAAATTTAACTAACCAATCCTAACATATTGTAACATGATTATGTAACCAATTATATCCCAGCACCTTAATTAGTTTACACCCAGCAAAATTAATTGTACAGCAGACAGGAACAATCACAGAACCAGACAGAGATTATACAGACAAACAATAGCAAAGTGGGAACTATAATGACAAGACAATATAGAAGTGAGGATTTCACATCCCAGCTATTGATAAGTGAGTTTTTGCCAGACAGGATGCTATCAAACTAAGTTTTCTTTTACATTTTCTAGGCACTTCCCTTTCTCTGGAGGTGATAGGAATACAATCCTGTCCGGATAGTGCCTAACAGCCCAATAGCACCTTATTTCAATGTGACTAGTTTGGAATGTGAGGAGGTGACCGGTCGCTTCCCAGCTTATGGCTGCCTCTGCTGCTTAGCCAAAGGCCTTAGCCTAAGAACAGGGCCTCAGACTGTCACAGTAAGAGAAGGCCCTTACACCAGCAGACAGTGATTTTGATTCTTTCTTTTATACCTCTAGAACTAGCCAAGTGATAAGAATACACCTAAATTCTTAAAGTACAGGCCTTTGCAGACAGGCCTGAATATCTTTATCCTAACAGGGTTCTACACTGAAAAGTGACTATATACAAATAGCCCCCATTCCTACTTCACTGATGTGCTTTCTGGGTGCATTCAGAGTCCTATCTGCTCAATCTACAGACAAAAACTACTCGTCGCTTTTTACTCCTGTTAACGCTGCAGAGCCACCAAAGCCCAGAGGGAATGGGTTGGATTTTATTTCTCCTGGTGCATCATCGATAGAACTAATGTTAAACCTTTTCAGGCCCACTGACAGATTTTGCACAGATGTCATTGAGGGCCTAATTGGCCTTCAGCACTTCTGTTAGGATAATAATATATGATAAATAAAGAACTTGCCTTACCGTCCAATCCCAGGTCAAGCCACTTATGGTCTACTCTACACAGTAGCTAGGAGGGTGCTTCCCAGTATGAGCAGGCACTTGTGCTAGCTCTATCTGAGTGAACGTGCTAAAGATAGCAGTGTGGCCATGACGGCACAGGCAGTAGCTTGGGCTACCAATCCAAATACGTATGTGGGAGTTGGGCATGATTGTACTTGGGTGGCTAGCCCAAGCAGCCTTCCATGCCACCATGGCCCCACTGTAATTTTAGCAAGCTAGCTTGAGCAGAGCCAGCTGGGAAGCGCCCTCCCGCCATTGTGTAGACATAGTCTTAAATAAAAGAACTTTTAACTTGTAAACTGGGTCCACTAGCTAAGGAGTCACTGAGGCACAATAATCCGACAACTCCGTCTTGCCACTTCTATAGAGTCACAGAGTAGAACCAGACTATGAGTCTCACCCAAACGATGCCCACACAGTAAGCTGTATGGAACTAAATCTCTCTACCTCTAAAAGATGAAGGGCTGAGCCTTTCCGTCTGGGATCTATTTGAACCTACAGTTCCTGGAAGGCTGATATTTAGGCCTTCCTGTCTGGCTTTACAAACTAATTTTTTACCTTGGTGAACAAAGTTAACACTGGTATATTTGTAGTGGCTGCACACAGTCGTTTCCATAGTGGCCTAGAAGAATATTTTGCTAGCTGCTTTGCTGTACTCTGAAACCAAAGCATCTTTTATCCTGTTAAAACAAAAAACAGAAATTACATGCATGGCATAGTTTAATTTTTCACTAAGCTATAGCTCAGAAAATCCAATAATAAGGCAGAAGTGGTGGTTCCATGGGAGTTCTGAAATACAAACTCAAGCAAACCATTTTCACAACACTTCTGTGTTCACAGCCTCCGCATATTAATCTTTAAAAAAAAAAAATTATGCAGCGGCCATATTATCAATTTAATGTAACCCAAGAAGCTCTATTTAAAATTTAGATTTCATTTTCTTGCTGCAGTGCCTTTGCTAAATTCTCTTACACAAATGCTGACATAAATACATTACAATGTTTCAACTAGACATATGCCAGTAAGAATTACACAATACTAACAGAATGCAAACTGCTGTGCTTTGAACTGCTGTAATCTTGCCGATTTGCTTGACACAAAATATTCTACTTACTCAAAATTGTTCCATCAAACTAGTTCTGTATCTAATCAGAATGTTAAAATAATGCTTCCTGAAGCAAGTTAAAAAAAACAACACAACAACAAACTACAGACAAGATGATTTAACTTTAAGGGCGAGCAAATTGTCTTGTTCTTTCTGCAAGAGCAAACTAATTGATGAAAGATGTTGATGGGTTTAGGGTCTGTTTGGTTTTGGTTTTTTTCAGTGAAGTTAGTGCAGGTGCAGTATGCCATGCTGGATACTGAAAACTTTCACCCATACAAGAGCATGAATAGCAATACTGCTTTCTCCATAATAGCCTACCAATGAGTCTTAACCTTGGCTTCTAAGGATCACCTGTAGAATTGAGAGACTTCTTTATTCTCCATGTCTGTTCATTCTTTGGCCTCTGTGTTACGATTGTCAGCAAAGATGTCAATTCTGATGTGGTTATTGTGGATATCTATTCATTAGAAACTGCACTAGGACCACCCACCCATTTTACATAGAGTTAAATCCTACTGTTCTTGGACAAAATTTACATTGGCTTTTGCTAACTATAGATAACTTTATATTTCATTTGAATGTATTTGAAAGCTGTGGTAAGTGTGGGGCACAACACAGAGCAAAAGGAATAATCAGCTGTGTATGAAAAGCATATCCCAAGAACCCTATTAAATAGAACTGAGTTGAAGTGTGCCCTAAACTTTGAGCATTAATACTGTAAAGTAGGGTTCAGTCAATGCATTAGATAGGCAAGTTAAGAAAAACACGAAGTCCAGCTTCTTAAAGCTAAAGGAGCAGTTATTTCAAAAGAAGAATAGACTTTACAGAGAGGTAATTTGGCCAACAGACCCTCCCATCACACAAGAACAAAATAATATATTGGAAGAACTGTTTCAGAGGAACAGCCGTGTTAGTCTGTATTCGCAAAAAGAAAAGGAGTACTTGTGGCACCTTAGAGACTAACCAATTTATTTGAGCATGAGCTTTCGTGTAGCTCACGAAAGCTCATGCTCAAATAAATTGGTTAGTCTCTAAGGTGCCACAAGTACTCCTTTTCTTTTTGGAAGAACTGTGAATCTGAACTTTATATTAACTTAGTTAATTTCCTTCCTAAATGAAAAGCCATACCAATAGTGACACATCATCCTGACTGCACTGTCTAGGACTTTTGTCTTTCTTTGGGAGGCAAGGTAAAAACAATTTGCTATGCTCCCAGGACAGTCTTAAGCAGAACATGTGCCACAGATGAGAGTTATATTTGCTAAAAAAGGGAAGTTATGTCTAATGTGCTAAATCACAATTTTGCAAAAGTGGTTAATCTATCATTCGATGGCCTACTTTCAGATGCTGGAAAAGAATTTGGACATGTCACAAACATGCAAAAGAAGGCGGTTGAGATGAAATACATTGTAATTCACAGGCTGTTGTGATTGTGTTCCACTACTTCTTCTGGATGGAATCAGCTGGTTAACTGTGTCTCATATGCTCTATACTGCTAACAGACATTCTCCTGTAATTCAATTGGTAGGGTCTTCTGGAGCAGGAGGATCTGAGTTGTATCCTTGTTTTCACCACGAAGTTCCAGGTGACTGTGATACACAACACAGTGCCATTAGTGTTGGCTAGAAGTCCTTAGGCAGTATGACGGGGTGTTCACCCTACAACCTACACCAGCACCAAAAGGAAGCTGAGAAAGGGCCAATTAGTATGATAGACCACACACGAGGGACTTAGGCTGAAGAAGTAACCCCTGACTGGAGAAAGAAGCTCAGCTGTACAGGTGTGGGCTGGGCTAGTATACAATCAGGAAGCTGGCAACACAAAAGGTTACAGGAAGGAAGTCTACAGCCACCCTCTGTGTACTAGAGGGAAAAGGAGGGAAACCAGGGAAAGAGTAGGAACCTGACCCTGAGAGAAGGGTGGACCCAGGAAAGAGAAGAATGAAGAGGAAAACAAAGGCCCTGGAATCTTTGTAGAAGGGGAAGGTAAGGCCAAAATTGGATTCCTATGCCCCTTCTTCCCTAACTCCTGCATTCCCTCCTCTGCCCCCAGGTAGTTGGTCCGCTACCTCCAGTGGCGGCACATAGCTCCTGGGGAACCAGCTGTGCGGCTCCTCTTCCTTCTGCCCTTACCACCAGCTGCCATCCAGCACCTATAGCAGAGGTGGGCAAACTATGGCCCGTGGGCCACATCTGGCCCGCAGGACCGTCCTGCCTGGCTCCTGGCTGGGGAGGCTAACCCCTAGTCCCTCCCTGCTGTCCCCCCCTCTGTGCTGCTGTGCAGGTAGCATGGCTTGCACCCGCCCACCTCCCAGGCTTTCCAATAAGCTAGTCCTGCCGCTCTGAGCCGCATGGGGGGAGAGGGGGTTGGATAAGGGGCAGGAGGTCCCAAAAGGCAGTTGGATGGGACAGAGGTTGTGGGGGGGGGACAGTCAGGATTCAGGGAGCAGGGGGTGGGGTGGGGTGGGGTGGGGGGGCCCTGGGAGGGGGGGGGACAGGGAGCAGGGGGTTTGGGTGGAGTCCTGGGGGGGGGGAAGTTAGGGGACAAGGAGTAGGGGAGAGTTGGATGGGGATCCTGGGGGGGCCTGTCAGGGGGCAGGGAGCAGATGGGGGGTGGGGTCCTGGGGGGTGGTTAGGGGGTGGGGCCCTAGGAGGGGACGGTCAGGGGACAAGGAGCAGGGGGGGTTGGATGGGTCGGAGGTTCTAAGGGGGGCAGTCAGGGGGTGGAAAGCGGGAGGGGGTGGAGAGGGGGCCGGGGCCAGGCTGTTTGCGGTGGCACAGCCTTTCCTACTCGGCCCGCCATACCGTTTTGCCGCCCCCATGTGGCCCTCTGGCCAAAACGTTTGCCCACCCCTGACTTATAGCATTATGATCAGCTCCCCTGCTGCAAAGCGTAACCCCTGCTGGAGCCGCTCCATGCTTTCCCAAGCCTTGCAGTTTGGAGGGGCAATGCCTTTTTGCCTCCCCAAACTAGGCCCATCTTAAAAAGGGGGGGGCATGGTCCCCTTACCTGCCTGATTCTGGCACTGGTGGAAGAAAACCTGTGGGAGGCAGAGTAGGGAGCAGCAAGGTTGAAGACTGAGCAGACCTTGGCTGCACTTTGTAGGGTCCCTGGGCTGGAATTTGGAGTAGTGGGTGAGCCTGGGTTCCCTTACCAGCCACTGAGTGAGTACCCCATAATAGGCAGCCACAAACTTTTTCTCTTGAGCCATGTGGCAATCTGTTTGTACAGGGTTTTACATAACTGAAGAGGTGAGCTTGAAAGATTAGCAATGTGCAAATCTGACAATAACTGGCCTCAGCAGTCCTATTTAGGAATTTTTATGTCCACAATAGCACTGAAAGTCTACCCAACACTGGATATGTTTGGAATGATAAAATGCAGCATGTGGACCTACTTGCATCCAAGATAAAAATGACAAACTATTTAATTTGAATTAATTTTAAAACATGGCAAAATACTTCTGCTACCAACCAAGCAACCAAGTTTGTCATTAAAAATAATATTTAAAAGTCTGTGTTTTTTCTTAAGTGAAACCAAGAAAAGAGTATTTTCTGAGTTCAAGAATAGGTCTTCATTGACCAGAATTATTACTGATGCTAATGAATCACTACACTGCCAACTCCTCAAGCCTATGAGTTGTGGTTTCCATAACATCCAGTCCACAAGTAGTAATATTAACTTATGTGCAATTCAAATATGATGTATGAGCTTAAATGTCATTACTTATTAACAGATGCTAGACACAGCCACAAATGCTAAGGAAATTCAACATTTATATTGCAAATCAAACTTGTATCCCATATGCCTTCCGTGGAACTTACAGCCTAAAGAAGACCAGGAGCCCTGGCCCCTGGTTTATTTGCTTATGTGGTGTGAGATATTGGGGGGGGGGGCCCTACTCAGCAGTTACACTTGAATAAATTGGAAGTAACTCCATTAAAGTCAATGATCCCAATTGTGGGTTGTGTTCCACCCATTCTGTACTGCCACACAGCACCTCTGAAACACCTCTGTGGGGTTGGGGGAAGATGTCATCAGATAGTATAGAGCTGCCACAGTACAGGGACTCCTGAAGTCCCTGGTTGCCAAAATAGTCCCTTGGGGAAGCTAATGCAGGTTAGAATAGCTGCTCCAACCTGTGCTAGGGAACTGGCCCAGCAGAGAGCAACCATAGCTCCTGAAGAACAGTTGAGGATCTGGCCCGGGGAGGCTCTCTGTGTTTGGCTTCTGAGTTCATTCTCCTTCTGGTGAAACAAAACATGGTTTTGGATAAAATCAAGTAATAGCTTATTGAATGTGCTGAAGGATAGATGGGGATGTAAAGTCTAGTTCCTGTCAGCAGCAAACTACTAAAAGGTAAATACCCCAGAGCGTAACGTCAATCATTGGGCCACATCTATTCTCACCAATTCATACAAGAATTCAAGTAACTCTTGGGCAGATCTATACTACTGCTTAAGTCGACCTAACTTACGTCAAACAGGGGTGTGAAACCCCCTCCCCTCAAGCGATGCAAGTTTTGCGCTGTCCACACTGGTGCTATGTCGGCAGCAGACGCTCGTGACTTCACCAGACATGCTACAGCAGCATCAGTGCAGCTGCGCTGATGTAGCACTGTTGTGCACGCCTTGCCCTGAATAGTATCTGGAGTCCATAATGTGACCAAGCAGCTCACTAAGCCTGGTCTGCACCATTGGTAGGTAGAATGCACTGGTTCCACTAATATGCAGAGTGCAAAAGTCCAATCTGTATCAATCCTTCCCCTACCTCGGTTTACAAGAGGCAAAGGAAAATGTTGTGCAGATGCCCCACATGTTACACTCAACATGAGAAAAATCTGTAGCGTGGGATTTTTGTGTGGGCGTTTTTTAATGATGAAATTAAACTGCTAACAATTAGTGCAGAACTTTTCAATACAGTAATTCTGAGAGCTCTTTCTGACATTTAAAGATCCTTCTCAGGATCAGCAATACATAAACAAGAAGCAAAAGAGCTTGCTAATGCCAAAATCCCTTTTATTCCATACTGTAAAGAGATGTTAATAACTTGACAAATATGATGTTCGGAAGATAAACTTGGCCAGTACTACATTCCAGAAAGACACATTGGACGAATCTATAAATAGTCTTCTCCAGCAAATAAATCCTAGTTTTCAGCATAAACTGTGACACTGAAACTACCTTAACCAGTTAATTGTTTATAAAGCTAAAGAAAAGATACGCATGTCTGACTTTTTTCAACTTAGTATTTTTAATAATGACATTTTCTTCAATAATCTCAACTTCAAGACACTTGATGTACTCTACTTCCATGGCTCTGAATGTATGCGACCCAGAATTATGAATATATTTGGATCTGACTAGTAAGGTCCACTTTTTCATGATTCTCTGTGCATAACCGACTGTGCAGTTAATTACAGCAGTTGCATGTGCATTTGCAGAGTTTGTGAATACTGTGTGCACATGTAATGATTAAAATTTAAGACCGAGGATCCCAAGACAGAGCAACCGTGATTCCCTGGACAAATCACAAGTACCTTTATGCAAGGGACTGCGCTGGTAACCTGTCAGGATCATTAAGTTATGTTAAATTTGAATAAAAGAGCTGATTGCAGCTGCTCTAATCTAGATGTCTAATATGGATGCATGGCCAAAAAGAAGAAAGTCTGTTTCTGCCTCTCTTTATTGCACACTAGCATGGCTGTTAGCACAGTTCAGAAATCCATAGGCCACTGACCAAACACTATTGCAGCTTCATGTGTTTGTGACTGTTCTAGAAAACTCAGAACTAAACAATTACTGTTACAGAAACTATTGTATAATAGTTACATACTATTCTCCATTTGATCTTTGGCCTGTAAATCTAGATCCACACACTGAATATGGTAAAAAGAACAGAAGCGGGAAAGAAGGCTCTATCTAAGCAGTGAGGAAAACATGCAGTCATTGACTGTAAGAAAACAGACTTGTGGCTCAGCGGGGTGCTGTATTAGAATAAAGAAAAGGAGTACTTGTGGCACCTTAGAGACTAACCAATTTATTTGAGCATGAGCTTCAAATAAATTGGTTAGTCTCTAAGGTGCCACAAGTACTTCTTTTCTTTTTGCGAATACAGACTAACACGGCTGTTACTCTGAAACCTGTATTAGAATAGCCTTTCCTCTGGAGTTCCTCATTCAAACCTAGCTCTGGTCACACATGAAAATGAATTTGCTGTTAATCTGGTCCCTTTTACCTGTTGTTTAACTTGGCAGATGCTGGTATGAAGGATGGTCCCCCAAGCAGAGACAAAGGGCAGTGCTGGGATGAGGAAACCCAGTGCCCAACAGTTGCTGTAAATGGGGGTACTGGTGGGATCCTCATAGGGTGCTGAGGGACCTTACTTGGGGGCTCTATCTTTTATATGGTGTCTCAAATTTGAAGCTGCTGTGCCTGTCTCTCTCCTTTTGCTCCACAACAAAGTCCCTCTTGGCTATGGGAAGGGAAGGGGGAACTTCTTCTATACTCCCTCCCTCATCCCCAATTCTACATGCTTCCCCCTCTCCCCCATGTTTTCTATTCCATTTGCATTAGCCTCCTCCAGCCGCATCATTGTTTTCCTTTTCTCTAGCCCCATTTTTGGGAACCTCCTTTTCTCATTTTTGGGGACTCTTCCTTTCTGAATCTCTCTGCCCAGCCTCTGCTACTGCTCAGTTTTCCTGACCAGCAGCTAAGCAAAATTTACACAATTTGGTCCATTTTACTCCTACCCAACTTATCATGAACAGCAACAGTGAAACTTACCAGACTTATCAGGTTCACTTTGCTGATGCCCCTGCTCATGAAAGGAACTTGCCAACTGACCATTTGTGAGTACATATTTAAAGTCTTGCCAGTGACCCATTATTTGATTCCCCAAATGATGTAATGACTGGTAGTCTTCGCTCATGACATGCGTGGTACTGGATTAGCAGGGGTACTGCATGTTAGGCTTGGTAGAGTGCTCTTTCCTTTGCAGACAGAAGGTTAATAAATAGTAGGGGTGGAGTATTTTTCCTGGAATTCTAAACAAGTTAAAAGATCCTAAACATACTGCAGTTCATAAAGTCTTGAAGTACTATTTTTTTCCAAGAGCACACAGCACTTTTTTTTTTTTTTAAAAGTCTTGAGGGAAGAACCAATTTCTCATGTCAGAATTCATTCATTATAAGCATATTCTGTATCACCATTTTAATATTTACTTCAATGGGGGAATGTTACAAAATCTCTGCACGCTGTTATAGAAAATGTTCTGAAAATAAACTATCAGCACCTTCTCCCACATCCCTTCCCTCCCTTAATTATAATACTTTAATCTCACCTGGGATGGAGTGCTGTAGGACTGTAGCATTTTCTTAAAGATATCATTTCATGGTAATGCACAGGGGCCTATGTTTAGTTGCAGACAATGGCATTACACCCTAAAATATATTGAGTCAACATTCTTGACTTTGACCAGATATATATTCTAAATTCAAAGCATACTGACATACAGTATATTGCTGTAATAGTTGTGAAACACAGCTGTCTTTCTGAAAGATATGCAATCTTGTATATAATGGCTAGTTAAAGTAGGATTTATGAGTTCAAAAGCACATTTTAAGTGTCTTCATTTGAGCTATCAAATAAAACCTCAGAGTGAAGTGATCCATTCTACAAGAGGGGGGAAAAGATTCTTAAAAGAATTTTCTTTCCCATTGTCCTCCTTTCTTTTTGAAGATATTTTCTGAATTCTCAATATCCTCTACAGATTGGAAGTCAGATTTTATTAGAAAAGTTTCTCACTGTTAATAACTTGGCTAGCAAATAATATACATAGGTTTGAGGCTTGTTCTGTTAAAGGAAAGCAAGCATATGTTAAATGTATAGACATACCAAAATGCCTACTTTGCCACTTACAAATGACATTTACGCTACCACTTGCTTATTCTGATTGTCTATTCCTATCACTTTGATTGCAATAAGTAGAGGATAAAGTTATTTAGAAGACCACTAAAGAGCATAAAAAAAGCATATATAATGCACAGAAAGTGCTAGAATTTCAGTAACCACTTCTGAACAATACAAATGCGTTTCAGTCATGGGTTTTATTTTCAGGGACAAATTTTGATAAATTATCCAAGTTCTGCACAGAACTGCAAGTCTACTTCTGTATGCAACTCCCCCAAATACACATTGAACAATGGACTGCCAAATGGCTAAACATCTGTCTGCACGCACAAATTGCTTGAATGTGTGCAAAATCATACAACACACATTTTTGTGCCCATCAGCGGGCCTCTACTTCTTAAAATACTTGGCCTCCAATGTCTTTTTTTTTATTTCATTCGAAATTGTGATCTTCCTGTTGATCAAATGGCTCTCTCCCGTGGCCAGTGATCAAGTTATTTGACCATAGCTGCTGATAATCAGAAATCAATTAAAGGCAGAAATTGTAGTATTGGGTAATTAATTTATATTTTAATACAAATTATTTGTTTTTTGTGGATTTGATCACATTGACTAGTGACGGTACTTTATATGCTTACATACAGAATATGTACAGTAACTATCTTATTAGCAAAACCAGAAAGGTGGTGGTTTTATAATGAATGACAAGGTATAAGAAGTGTGCTGGAAAAGGCTAAGTGTATTTGGAAACATCTACATTATCAAAAGTGCTATTGTATAAAATATTTATTTAACATTATTTGCAACACTAAGATGCATATTGAAGCATGCTACAATATCATTTACTGATACATCCTTAAATTAGGTCAAAACAAGTATTGGGTTATAGAAAATGAATGCTGTTCTACTGAAAAGCAAGTTTATCCGACAAACAAGTTGCCTGTGTGCATGTAGTTATATCTGCTTATGTCGTTGGTAAAAATAAGGGCCAAGATTTCCCATTCAGACCACAGTGGTAAAAATGTATGCTGCTGGTATACACTAGCACTCACCTCATGGCTTGTCACTGGTGGAGCTGCACCAGTGCTAGACAACTGTTGGGAGGATTTCTGATAATGTTTATGAATGTTTTGTTTTTTTTCCCTCCCACTCTAAACCCTCCTTCAGCATCTCCCCTCCGTTTGCTCTACATCAGGGGTGGGCAAACTTTTTGGCCTGAGGGCCACATCAGGGTTCCAAAACTGTATGGAGGGTCAGGTAGGGAAGGCTGTACCTCCCCAAATAGCCTGGCCCTCTCCCAGGACTCCTTGTCCCCTCCCCCCCACCCCAAACCTCCGCCCTATCCAACTCCCCCCCCCCCGGCTGCTCAGAGCAGCATGTCTGGCAGCCATGCGGCCAGGAATTTCCCCAGCAGTCTGTCTGTCTGCAGCTATTGGCTGCTGTCTTGTGCTTAGATTGTAAGCTCCTTGGGGCAAGGACCCTCTTTTTTGTTCTCTTTATACACTACCTACCACTAGGGTCTTGGTTCAAGACTGGGGCTCGTAGGTGCAATAATGCACTTAACTCTGACTAATAAATTCTTAGTGGAAACATGGTGTAGATGTGTCAAGTCAGGGGGAGCCTATGAAATCAATGGCGGAAGCACAACGCCTCTCCAGACAGCCACTTCTGATTTATTACTTATCACTTTGGGGCACTTAATTAAATCAGGCCTGTTAACTAGTGGGGAGAAGACTGTGTAACACTGCACACACGTGCTGGTCCCCGAGTCTGGGGTGAGTTTTCTTTGAAACCCCCCCTCCCTGCCTTTTGCAGAGTCATTTGTCAAATGCTCTTTTGCACTAGCATTTGCTCCGCTCTGGAGCGTCACAGCGGCCCCAAGCAGTGAACTGCCTAGCCCCGAGCACGTCAGAAGGACCTCGCTTGTTCTCACCTGCGTGGCCCAGGCTCGGGGCTAGTCCACCGCCTCTTACACCGACACCCACCCGCTTGTGCAGAGACTCCGCCGCGAGCCCTGGTGCCCAGCGCCAGCGGCCTGGTGGCTCCGGAAGGAAAGCGGGCGCCGCTCACTCCAGCTGCGCTGTCGCTTGAAACCGGGGCCTCTTCTACACAACCCAGCGCCTGGCCCAAGCGGAGCGAAGCAGGGGCACCGCGGAGCTGTGAACACACCGATCCTGCGTCGGGCTACTCACGCGGCTGCCGCTGCCCGGGGACGGAGCCTCCAGCTCCCCTGCGCCGCGGCCCGGCCCTCCCCGCTCCAACAGCAGCGCCTGCTCCGCCCCAGCCGCTCCCCCGGGACACAGGAACCGACCAGCAGCAACTTCCTGACACTGCTGCTTGCATTGCACCCGCCACCGCTTCGGCGTCCCCGGCCGGCCGGACACAGCCTCGCGCCGTGCCCGGGAGTTTACACTCACATCTCCAGGCTCGCCCCGCCTCCTGCCCTGTGTTAAGTTGTTGCTCCTTAAAGAAGTTCTTTGCTCCGCTTTGTTTTCCTGCCCAGGGAAGGCTCCAGTCCGCTTATAAAATAAACAAAGAAAGTGTAACCTTCACCCTGCATGGATTATTTGAAAGCAACCCCTAAAGGTTTCCCCAAATAGTGCAGTGGCTGGGTCTATTCTTTAAAAATAATGGTTGGACCATTTTAGATTTTTCTAAAGCAGTTTTGTTAAAGTGTTGGCAAGGCTGTATGGAAGTGCTAAGGACTGTTATTAAACTAATATTTCCACTTTGCTGTCAGCATTTAGTTCCCAGTCCTGCAAACTGATGTCAGTGGGACTAGGGGGTGATAGCCCTGGGATCTGGCCACATGGAGCAGCTTGGGGAATCCGGGCCTTGTTAAAGGTAAAGCTGGGAGTGGTATGATAGATTGTCTGTCTGACACTCCCTATGATAAGACTCTGTTTTCAGTTGCTTAGAATTCTCCCGTCTTTAAGTGCTTCAAGGTGAAATTTTGCATGCTGGGTGTCTGCCACAGGAAAGGGTTGTTTTTAGAAAAATTCAGCAAAAATAGTTCAGCCATTTACATTGTCTTGCCCATAACAAATTGTTAAAACCGTTGCAGTGAGAAGCGCAAGCCCTCCCATGCTTTGGCCAAATTTTGAACCTCTGGGAATTTCAATTAGCATGCGTTCAGTGTGGAGACTTGTTAGTTTGGTAACTAGATTCTTTATAGATTCCATCTGTGCTGCATATGCTCCAGCTCAGACTATTATTAATTTTCTAATGGGCTTTTCTTTGGCACTGATCACTACAGTGAGTGCTTCACATAGCAAAAACTATTTGTTTCAAGTTGTAGGTTAGTTATTTTATCAGACACCAATTCATCCAGCTGTAATAATAATAATACCTTGCACTTATGTCACTTTCTATCTAAGATTTGCAGAGCACTTTACTAATGTTAAATTAACCCTCACACATACCGGGTGAGGTAGATAAGCATTATCTTAATTGTAGAGATAGGGCAACAAAGTCTAAGCAAAGTGCTCAAATTCACAAAGGAAGCTATTCAGTGGCAGTGACAATAGAACCCTCTTTGCCTGTCCAGTGTGTTAGTCAAGATATCATAGAATCATAGAATATCAGGGTTGGAAGGGACCCCAGAAGGTCATCTAGTCCAACCCCCTGCTCGAAGCAGGACCAATTCCCAGTTAAATCATCCCAGCCAGGGCTTTGTCAAGCCTGACCTTAAAAACCTCTAAGGAAGGAGATTCTACCACCTCCCTAGGTAACGCATTCCAGTGTTTCACCACCCTCATAGTGAAAAAGTTTTTCCTAATATCCAATCTAAACCTCCCCCACTGCAACTTGAGACCATTACTCCTCGTTCTGTCATCTGCTACCATTGAGAACAGTCTAGAGCCATCCTCTTTGGAACCCCCTTTCAGGTAGTTGAAAGCAGCTATCAAATCCCCCCTCATTCTTCTCTTCTGCAGGCTAAACAATCCCAGCTCCCTCAGCCTCTCCTCATAAGTCATGTGTTCTAGACCCCTAATCATTTTTGTTGCCCTTCGCTGGACTCTCTCCAATTTATCCACATCCTTCTTGAAGTGTGGGGCCCAAAACTGGACACAGTACTCCAGATGAGGCCTCACCAATGTTGAATAGAGGGGGACGATCACGTCCCTCGATCTGCTCACTATGCCCCTACTTATACATCCCAAAATGCCATTGGCTTTCTTGGCAACAAGGGCACACTGCTGACTCATATCCAGCTTCTCGTCCACTGTCACCCCTAGGTCCTTTTCCGCAGAATATCTTGGAATATCTTCCAATGTTTCTTAGATTACGTCTCCTTTTTAGTTCCCTGTGATTGTTTCTAGGGCCTCTTTCAGACATCTTCAAAGTCTTTATTTTGAACTGCACAGCAGTGAGGTGCTATTCAGGTAAGATTAATTGCAGCTTTTTGTGAGCATTCAAAATAAGACTCTGAGATACAAGCGAAAATCATATCCTGCTTATCAGCTTTCCTGACAGAAAGTCACCTCCAGGCTGGAACATCATGTGCCTTAACAGGGAAATAGTGGAACAATTCCCGAACCCTGATTGTAGGGCCAGCCAGGTCTTCTCCTGGCATAGAAAGCAGGGTCTAAGCATCTGATGCTCCTCCTAGAGAGAAGAGCACAGGGACCTATGGCTCAGCATCACTATTCCCTGACCGGTAGAGCTGACTGGCTATGAGGAGTGAGTTTACACCCACATTCTGCAGAGGAAGATGGAACACCCCACCCCCGGTCAATGTGACCTGAGCAGAAAATTCCTTCTTGACCCCATATATGACAATCTGCACAGTTGAGCAATAACCAGCCATAATGCCCGAACTTCTCATGTGCACCATAGAGCATATAAGTGTAGCATTACAACAACTTTTTGTCTGGGCTTGGATTACTGGGAAGGTACCAGGCCAGTGGAGTGAAAGAAAGGGATTACCATATTACTTCATAAGGGGAAAGGCCCATACACTGAGTGAAGTAGCTATAGTACTCTACTCCTGAAAAAGACTTTACATGCTATTCTTGTGCAGCTCCAGCTTCTCCTTGTGAAATGCCATTGCCTTGAGCAATTGGGCTTCATGGCCAGGTGATCCATAATAGATACTATGCTTGCTTTCCATCTTTTATCCGAGATCCAGCATGAATTTAAACAGCCTATGAAAGTAGCATACATAGACCTAAAGGCAGCCTTTGATTCTGTTGACAGAGCTGCCTTGTGGAAGGCCCTGCAGGGCATCAGTGTTCCTGATATACCCCGGAGGCTAATTTAAACATCTACATAGTGACTCAGAGGCACAGGTGTATTGGGGGCCCCATAGGTCTGACAAGATTCACACTAGATCCAGGGTGAAGCAGAGATGTGTCCTGGCCCCAGACCAGTTCTGCTGTGCAATGGATTGGCTCCTTAACATATTTACGCAAATATTGGTATAACTGTTGGTTCAGCCTCTTTTACTGACCTGGATTATGTGGATGATGATGTCCGCTTTGGTCAGGACACAATCTCAAAGATGCACTAGACTGCTTCCAGCCTAAGACATCTGCCCTAGCGCTAAAGGTTTCTTGGGCAAAACCAGAAGTCCAGAGTGTCAATGCAAAAATTGGATACAAGTCATTTGTGCTTCTGGACAAACTGTGGAAGTAGTGGATGACTTCACTCATCTATGCAGAAAAATTGTCACCAAACGGGTGCAGCCAGCCAAACATCCTAAGGAAAATTAGTTTAGCAGCCTCAGCCATGAAGGACCTGCATAGTGTCTGGAGCCAAAAGAAGGAGAAACTATATACAAAAGAATGTATTTCTCAAACCTGTGTACTTCCGATTCTCTTACATGAACCTGAAACATGGATGCTGCCTAAACAGGACCTCAGGAGGTTGGATGCTTTTCATATGCATTGCCAACAGCAACTAGTGAGTGTAAGATGGTGTGACTTTATCAGTAATAGGGATGTATCATTGAGAAACGGCATAGAGAGGATTGAAGTAATTGTTGGCTGCTGCTAGCTGGTCCTTTTTGGTCATGTTGCCTGCCTCAGAGACAATGTCCTCACACATCAAGCCCTGAAGATCGGATTGAGGTCAGGAAGAGGCACTGCCCTGTCTTGGATTGGTGGTGGTCTCACAGTTACCTGCTGTCATAAATATAAAGGGAAGGGTAAACCCCTTTGAAATCCCTCCTGGCCAGGGGAAAGCTCCTCTCACCTGTAAAGGGTTAAGAAGCTAAAGGTAACCTCGCTGGCACCTGACCAAAATGACCAATGAGGAGACAAGATACTTTCAAAAGCTGGGAGGAGGGAGAGAAACAAAGGGTCTGTGTCTGTCGGTATGCTGGTTCTTGCCAGGGACAGAACAGGAATGGAGTCTTAGAACTTTTAGTAAGTAATCTAGCTAGGTATGTGTTAGATTATGATTTCTTTAAATGGCTGAGAAAAGCATTGTGCTGAATAGAATAACTATTTCTGTCTGTGTATCTTTTTTGTAACTTAAGGTTTTGCCTAGAGGGGTTCTCTATGTTTTTGAATCTAATTACCCTGTAAGATATCTACCATCCTGATTTTACAGGGGGGATTTCTTTATTTCTATTTACTTCTATTTTTTATTAAAAGTCTTCTTGTAAAAAACTGAATGCTTTTTTCATTGTTCTCAGATCCAAGGGTTTGGGTCTGTGGTCACCTATGCAAATTGGTGAGGCTTTTTACCAAACCTTGTCCAGGAAGTGGGGTGCAAGGTTTTGGGAAGTATTTTGGGGGGAAAGACGCGTCCAAACAGCTCTTCCCCAGTAACCAGTATTAGTTTGGTGGTGGTAGCGGCCATTCCAAGGATAACGGGTGTAATATTTTATACCTTGGGGAAGTTTTGACCTAAGCTGGTAAAGATAAGCTTAGGAGGTTTTTCATACAGGTCCCCACATCTGTACCCTAGAGTTCAGAGTGGGGGAGGAACCTTGACATGGTGGCACAGTGGTGGGATTAACCTGAAATCATTTTGAGATCCAGTTGAGATTTTTTGAACTAGAAATACAGATTTTAAAAAGGAATTTTTAGGAAGTCCAGAAAGCAGCTTTGAAACTGAAAGCAGCTTGGTTTCTCTCTGCTTTGTGGCCAAGCAGAGACAAAAGGGGATTATCTTGTGAATTGCAGGTTTTCTTTGCCTGGAGGCAGGGTACTTAACTCCTGCAGGGAAATTCACAGTCTTCCAACCCAGAGGTTTTTTTTTTCTTTTCTTCCTAAAAGTAAATAGGGGGTGTGTGTTCTACCCATTTGCTTTTTCTTTGGGCTGGGTAAGCAGGTTTCCAAGTAGTTGGAGGTTTTTTGCTTTAATTTGGGCCCAGAGCAGAGACAAGGGAATTGTCTTTTTCTGTAGGCTGACAGTCACTATCAGAGAATAGGTATTCTATTCCAGCACAGCAAAATTTTACAGCCACGTTTTGTTTGTTTATTT